CATTAGAGTACCTTACATGTATACAACATACAATAACAGACTATTTCTATCAAGTGTGGGAAGCCTACCTGAGCTACACAGAGTCTGGTGTCTCTGACATTATGCTGCAGACATTTTCTTGATTGTTCTTAATGCACATTATCATTGTAACCTCTGAGATTGAAGCTGAGCTAGTGTTTTGGGTTTGTTATTGTTGTTTAGTCTGGTGTAGTTTGTCTCTCATGTGAATTCTATAATGTACCCCCCTTCTACTTGTTGTAAAAGTGAAAACTACTGAATATATTGTCAAAAAAACTAGGTGACTTAGCAGCCCACTCTCTCTCTTTGGCTAAGGCTAACATTAGCCAGAAGAAGGTGTGTCTCCTTTGCTGCGCAGCATTGCTAACCACCAAGGCTAACTATAGCTCTACCTGGACGCCAGGTCAGCTCTGACAGCCAGTCAAGTTTGTAAAATATCCATAATTAATGCTACATGTCATGGCCGCCCTCCCGGTGTGGTGATAACAGTTCAAAAGCTGGCACTGGCTAGGGCTAGCTTACCTGCAGGACAACTTCGCTGGGTAGCTGGGCCGCCCGGAAAAGGTCAAGAACTCTCCCATTGGAAGCCACTTTTTTGGTGTTGTCCGTGTCGCAGTAAACGAACAAATCCGAGTAATATTTCTGCTCGACATCAGTCAGCGTTAGACTTTCCATCGTAGTACCAGTCGACCCTGAAAACCAGACGACTTGGCTGTTGATTAGCCTTTAGCCAATGGCTGGGGCAGGATCCAAAAAATGGGCGAGACTTCAGGATCCCAACTTAGCTAGCGTTGCTGCACTAGCTAGGTTAGCAGGAATAATGTTCTCAACGCGCTGTGTCGACTTGTTGTCGCCTGATCCCACGCTCTGTGGGAAACCCCTAATACTATCTGGGGACACACACGGCTGATCGCCACTCGGATATTCAAATGAGAAATGCTTTCATACAGTTAATCACTTAGTTAACTTGTTGGGCCAGCCAAGCCAAGTAGCCAACAGCGAGCTAACAGCTACCTTGAATCAAAGTCAGTGGCTCTAACGTTAAGCTAACTAGCAAGTCGCAAAGTGCGTCCACCTCCTCAGCCTGGACGTGTGCCGCGATAATCTCGCGTTGGAGCACTTCTCCTCCGTTATATCCGTTATGGGGTGGTGTTTCTGCGTTTCGCTGGAGACAAATTCCTCAGCGGGGCCGTTAGAAGTAAAGTTTCATGGTCTTTGGGTTCCTTCCTCTAGTAATCTTAGCCGCCATTCCTGCCACCAGTGTCAAGTAGCTCGGAGTACAAGTAACACTTCCGGTGGGACTTTCAGATTAAAACACCCGTTGACGTTCATTTCAGAATCAGAATCATTTTTATTGTCCCAGCAGGTGAACTTGGGTGCCCTTTCAGTGGAGAAAGCATAATTAAGTGCCCTCTAGGATGCCCTTCTAGTGGGGAAAACGCGAAGGGATCCTTTCCAGTGGAAAAAACGTCATGACGTCCCTTCTAGGATGCCTAGAGTCCTCCGGGATGCCTTCCAGTAGAGAAAACATGATAAAGTGCCATCTTGGGTGCCCTTCCAGTGGAGAAATGTAATGAATTGCCCTCTAGGGTGCCCCTCTAGTAGAGAAAACCTCATTAAGTGCCCTGTAGGGTGTCCCTCTTGTGGAGAAAAGAAGATGAGGTTCCCTCTAAGGTGCCTTTCTAAAAGAGAAAACGTGATTGTCCTCTGGGGTGTTCTTGTAGTAGAGAAAACATGGTGATGCACCCCTAGGGTACTTTCAAGGGTGCCCCTCTAGTAGAGAAAATGTGATAGAGTGCCCTCTTGGGTGCCCATCCAGTGGAAAGAATATGATGAAGTGCCATCTAGGGTGCCCTTCAAGTGGGGAAAATGTCATGAAGTGCCTTCTATGATGCCCCTCTAGTAAAGAAAACATGATGAAGTACCCTTTAGGGTGCCCTTATAGTAGAGAAAATGTGATGACGTGCCCTCTAGGGTGCCTTTCCAGTTGAGAAAACATCATAAAGTATCCTTTAGGGTGCCCCTCCAGTGGAGAAAACGTAAAGAAGTGCCCTCTAGGGTGCCTTCTAGTAGAGAAAATGTGATGACGTACCGTCTTGGGTGCCCATCCAGTGGAAAAAAATATGATGAGGTTCCCCCTAGGATGTCCTTCCAGCGCAGAAAATGTAAAGAGGTGCCCTCCAGGGTGCCTTCTAGTAGAGAAAATGTGATGAAGTGCTTTCAAGGGTGCTCTTCTAGTAGAGAAAATGTGATGAAGTGCCCTCTTGGGTGCCCAGCAGTGGAAAAAATATGATGAAGTTCCCCCTAGGGTGCCCTTCCAGTGGAGAAAACGTAAAGAAGTGCCCTCTGGGGTGTCTTCTAGCAGAGAAAATGTGATGAATTGCCCTTTTGGGTGCCCCTCCAGTGGAGAAAACATGATGATGTGCCCTTAAGGGTGTCTTTCCAGTGGAAAAAACATCATGAAGTGCCTTCTGGGATGCCCTTGCAGTATAGAAAACATGATTAAGTTCCCTCAAGGATGCCTTTCCTTTTTAAGAAAATTTGATGGAATGCTCTCTTGGATGCCCTCTCAGTGGAGAAAACATAAAGAAGTGCCCTTTAGGGCGACCTTAAACCTAACAAAAAATGTGATGCAGTGCCATATATGCTGCCCTGCCTTCCTGCACACTGGTGCCCCACTGCATGTAGCTGCCCTTTTAATTGTTTCACCCCTGCCTCTCAGACAGTATGAGTCTGTCACTGTGTACACATACAAAAAAAATCTCACAACAGTTTTCGTCTGTTTCAATAGTATAAATGATTTCAGTAGAAACAGAGATTTAAAAGACAAACAGCTAAAAACAGGGACGACAAAGGTAAACGTGTTTTCTACTACAGTAAATATATATGACGTAATGTATATGTCTATACATAAGTCAAGTGTTTCTGTAAACAAATACAAGCAGGCAAAGAAATACATGGTAATTCCATCACTACTAGGCACCAACATTTTCAAAGCATTTCTTTTTCCACAGCTTGAGTGTAAGTAGGCAAAGTGGGCAATTGCCTCTGGGCCCAGACTATTAGGGCCCCCAAATGCCCCACATCCATTATGCAAGTTGCATGTGCTGATTTGATCATTTGGAAGTATGTTATAATGTGTACCATGTCTACCTGTGTCTCTTTCACAGGTGATGCATTTTCACCTGCCTTGTCTACCTGTCTTGTAGAGGGAACCACACGCAGGGAGTCAATCTGGACCCACATCAGATGTGATCCCCATGCAGGACTCTCTGGAGGGGTTAATCTGGCCATGATTGCATTGACATTAATGGATAGCCCAAAATAAAGGTCAGAATCTTTGTCTGTCTGAATACACAAAATACTAATAACTGCACATCTCATGTTGAGCTTTCACGTGAGAGTTTTTAATGTGTTCAAGACTGAATAGAGCAACGAATTACAGCATCAAAATGTACAACTTTAACTGATTAATTATATTTACTATGAATAGTATAAATGGGCCTGAATGGAGATAAACACGAAAGTAAATGTAATTCCCTGCAGTATAAGGTTTTAAATACATTTCTGCAGCAGCCCCTGAGAGAACCTTGACACAAAATCCTCTGGCATAAATCCAACAAATACTAAACTCTCCAAAAACCAACACACACGTTACGCTTTTGTTCTGAAAATAAACGTGAAAATCTTCCGGTCTTTCCTCCTATTTCTCGGAGCTAGCTTGACGGTCTCGCGACGTCACTGGGCTACGGTCCGAGTCAGCGCGAGCTTGCTTGGCCTGCGGAGACCCGGATTAGTGATTTCAAAATAAAAGCTGTACTGATACCATGATACAGACGGGACAATTTACTGTAGTGAGAATAAGGACAGGAAAGAGGAGGTTAGACTTTCAGAGTGTTTTCTGTCTCTCTCAAGTGCTTTCTCCTTTTTCAGGGATAAATAATATGATAATAAAACATAAATTGTGTGTCATTTATCAGTTTTCACATACAAAGAGCATACACACTCATCACTTACACTTAGCTATAACAAAAATACAACAAAATCATGAGCTGTTGGGTCCCTTTTAACCCCTGTTCCTCCCTTCTTCTGAGCAAAGAGTTTATCTTTATTAAAATACTGCCTGGCACATTTTTCCAGTGTGGTGAGGTTTTAAATGCATTCATTTTGGAACATGCACAATATAGGCAGAAAACTGAAACTAAAAGGTCTTGAAACTACATTTGTGACACAGGGATCCTCTTCAAGACAAGGCCTTGAAACCACTCAGACCCTATAGCATGTTAAGGTGATAAAGCTGCCTTGTCCTACCGTAAGGTCTTCATCATGCCACTTGACACTGATACTAAATCAGGAATGCCATGCAGGTGGTGTAGGGAGACAGGGAAAAGACAGGAAGGTGGGAGAAAGGTGGATAAGGGATGCAAGAGAGGGAATGGAAAGGAAGAGGTGTGGGAGAGGAAGATGATAAATATGGAGATGAAGATAAAAAGGGCTGTTGTGGCCTGTGCACAGACATACCATTAATTCCTACATGTTTGAGTTTTATTTTGTCTTAAGACAGCTTCCCTACAGTAAATACACAGCTTTGTCCAGCTGCCCTGGACTGCATGTTTACAGCTGTGATAGATGGAGCTGGTGTGTGAAGGAAATATAACAAAAAGCTGTTTTTATTTTGTAGTTGCATGTGGGCTCTTTCCTCTGTCATTCAGGAGGACTAGAAAAGGTAAGTGGTTAGAGACAGGCATCTCTCCTCCATGCCATATAAGGAGCCGTGAAAGTAACGCATTGTGTCACGACGAAGTCAGATGAGCTTTAACGGTGCCTTTAGGGGTCATAGGAAATTCGATTTCTAATATAACCCGTGGCAGTTATACAATAAATCCTAAGTTTTGACACCTTGTGATGCCTCGCTTTGGCAGACGGTCACTTATTGGACTCACATCACATCTCATGTAATTCATCAATGAATTTGCTTTCCGCGTCATACTAGATACAACTAGTCTAATTAGATGCAGCAAGAGCACAATGGAAGTGTCCGAGCAGACAATGAACGCGTCGTCATTATCCACCGGAGCAGGCTGAGCATAAAGTCGTCCATCATTTTATTAGACTCAAGACGAATAAACCGGTAAGTATACACACTTTAACTTAATATTTAAAATGTTTTGAGTTGACTTTTGTTACATCGTCTTGCCGCTACATATTGCATCCGTGTAGCAGTCTGAAACGCCTCCATCCTCCTCATTGACGGATCATTTGTTGAACGTTAGAAGCTAACGTTACCGGCGAGCTCGTATCTGCTGCTTATTTTATTACTTCCTGTTGTGTCTGAAGTTGTGTAAGATATATTTGAGTTGTGAATATTAACCCGCACTCAAGAATGACTGCATATCTGTATAAATGAATAATAGTAATCGGGGTTTGCGCTCTGTGATGGCTAGCTGGGAGTGCTAATCCACCCATTTCCGCATTGATCACAGTCCGCCCTGCTCGTGTTGAGGCTTGTTACGTTAATCTCAGTGCTGCACTCAGTTCTTCTGTTAAACCATTTTTTAAAAATAGTTTTTGTGTATTTTTGACAACTTAAAATTGCATTTATATTCACTTAATGGCCATATCACCCGTTTTCTTGCAAAAGAAAAATCCCAGTCCCAAACTCAATTAAACTATTCAGGGAAAAAAATGAAATTGCCTTGCTGATAATCAAATAAGGGGGACAAAAGAAAAGTTAATACTTTTCTCTGAATTTCTACTTTCTTCTTTAAAATTCGGCGTGCATTAAATCACCAAGCAGCACTAACTTTAGTGATTAAAAAAAAAATCACATAATCATTGTTGGTCCAAGGTTCCCATTTCAGTTAAAAAACTTGAAGATTTATTAAAAACAAACGCTACTTCCTGGATTAGGTGTATGCCGAATTAAAGTATGGGCCTGTATTGAAAAGATCATATGTTTAAAAGGCATAAACTTTTCCCTAGAAGCATCAGAACATGAAAATATGATAATTTTGAACGGACTTTGGCTGGGTGGGCTCTCCCTGCAAGAGAATGGCGTGTAAAAGGGATAATTGCTCCCCTCTCACACAGTGTGTTTGATGCTTTAGAGGTCTAGTGTGGATATATTGGCAGATAGGATATATAATATAATAAGTATGTTTTCTTGAGTGTATAATCACCTGAACATTAGAATTAACATGTTATATTACCCCAGAATGAGCTGTTTATATCTGCATAGGGATAGAGAGCGGGTTCTCGTCCACAAAGTCCACCATGGTACATTGCTATCTTTCTACAGTAGGTCAAAACCAACACATCAAACTCTGGCTCTTATGTGTTTTCCAGTCAGCCACCTTAGTTAGCAGCTCCTCTGAGACGAGCCAAACAACATTGGAAAAACATGGATTTTAAGCATGAAACCGATTTATTCAGTGTTGTTAGTGGTTTAAACCACCAAGTGTGTTTGTTTTTGAGAGGAAGAGACTACTGTGGATAATTCGGCTCCTGGTAAAAACCTCTTGAATGTCTGGATCTGAAGTTATCAGAGAAAAAAGGTGAGCACATTTAAAAGGTTGTGGGCTAGCTCAGTGACTAGCCAAACAGCATCAGTGAAGCACTGATTTGTCACATTAAACTGCTTTATTCTGTGTTTTTACTGGTTTTTATTACCTGGTCTGTTTGTTTTGGAGAGGTAGAGACCTCTGCGGATAATTTGGCTCCAATTAAAAACCTCCTGAACAATAAACACTGAAGGAATTTTAGCTGGGAGATGTTTTAGCTCATTGCTATCTGCATCCTCACTGCTAGATGCTGTGCTACTTAATGCTACACACAGTTCCTTAAAGAAAATAAGCAGACTTATTTCAAGTTAAGATGTCAATTTTTGTTAATATATTTAATATGTTTGCTTTCATTGTGTTTTCTTTTCCAGCAACAATGAATATCTCTCATGAAGTCGAGTTGCTGGTGGAGGAGATCAAGCGTCTTGGCAGTCCAAGTGAGTCCATGCTTTGATTCTGTGTGTGTTTGATCTTCAAGTATTTTGGCATAGCTGACAAAACAAGCAATTTGAAAACATCAACATGGGCGCCGGGACATTGTTATTACCCTTTTCCTTTGTTTTCCAACATTTTGTAGTCTAAATGGTGAATGAATTAGTTGTAAGAAGTCCCAAAGCCACGTTTACGAGTGGTTACACCAAAATAAAATCCAATATCAACACTAATTCAGTCTGTTAAGCAGATTTAAAAATAAGCTGTACACTGTATGTATTTGGTTTCACCTGTTAATAAACCACTTTAACAAAGTAACACAACAACAACAGCTAATTTTGATTTAATTCTCATTCTCTCTTATCTGGTGTGACTTAAAGGTCAACACTGGGGGAACGTTGTAAAATAATGCTTTAACACTCCAGGCATTATTACTTTGTAGGCCCAGACACACCAAACTGACATCAAAGAACTAGGGGCAACAAAAGCTGAGTGTTACTTTGCCCCACATTGCCTTGGTCTCAGCCAAAAAGTTGCACATGAACACACCGCAAAGGCTACAGCCGACAGCCAACCAGCATGTACGTTCTGTGCCTACGTGAGAGGAAATAAGTCTCCACACCAGCAGATGGCAGTGGTCTGTATTTGTCATTCAAAAAGGGGAAACGGAAGACCAACTCGATGGTAGTTAGCCACTCAGCACATTATCAACACATTCCAATTTTAAAAGAACTGAGCATATAAACTGTGCACCAGCGAACAACACCACAAACCATCACCAGACTTTCCTGCTATAGAGCTCTGTGGCTAAAGAGAAATCATCTTACCTTATGTAACAAGTTTGTTTTGGTCTCACTCCCTCTTGACTTTAGCTCTTTGTTTACTTTCCTCACTTTCATTTCTCTTCTTGTGCGCTAAGCTGAACTGCCAATCAGAGTGAGTTCCTTCACCAATTGGCTCCGCCGTCATCAACGCTGATTCAACATGCTGAATTTGGCAAAAAAAAAAAGTAGACGAGGGCTGACGAGAGGCAACTGTGTGGGAAACGGCACACTGACTAGGGCGACAGACGCTCACAGACGGCCTAACACTGATCAACGGCCGACTGTCGGCTTGGTCTGTCAGGGCCTTCTTTTTTTTTCATTTGCATTTCTTATTGAGTTTTCTCAGATGGATCAACAGTACAAACACAATGACACAAAATAAAACAATGCAGGACAAACACCAGAGTAGCAATAATTGTTTTTCTGGGGCGGTTTCAGTATTTAAATAAGTGTCTTCAAGTTAGGGATTCTTTTAGATGGCGTCTTGTCTCATATAGATGTTCCATTTTCTCCGGTTCTTTTTAAATGTATTCTCTTTAACTCTCAAAACATATGTCAACTTTTCCATCACTAAAATTTCTTGGACAGTTTCTAGCCAGTGTTCCCGTTTTGGGGGGTTTACCTTGAGCCAGTGCCTGGTAATAGCTGTCTTACACGCTGCAAGTAAAACTTTAGTCATGTAAATATTGTAAGGTAAATATTGTGAGGTACATCACAAGGCAGGTATTTGGGATGTCATATGTGTCGGGGCCTTTTATGATTATGATCTGTCCTATCTGAAAATAACTCAATCTGCTTTGCGTTCTTGTTTCAGATGCCGATGGTCAGATGACCGTGAAATTTGGCATCTTATTCAATGACGACCGTTGTGCCAACATCTTCGAGGCGCTGGTGGGCACCCTGAGGGCAGCCAAGAAAAAGAAGATCATCAAATTTGAGGGCGAGTTGCTCTTGCAGGGCGTCCATGATAATGTTGATATCGTCCTGCTCCAGGACTGAGGCCAGAGTTTGTACCAGATGGCCATCTAGCGACTAACACTGAGCTTCTGCAGTGTACCGGCTTGTCACTGAGCTTCTGTTTTCAGTTCTCTTCCCTCATGTGCAAGGCTCAGTGTCTGAATTGACAACATAACGACCAAACAGACTAGATCAAACAGTACGCTCACAGACCCAGCTGGCATGTCTGCATACGACTTCATTTGATTCCACTGTGCCAAATGAAACAGTGTCACAAATATTTTAGTTTTTCAGGGGCTGAGTTAACGGCCATATTTCATAGTTTCAGATGACGACAAGGAGAAATGGTGTTTCTCTCTTTCTCAGGCGCTGCTCTTTTATCAACCACAGGTCTGAAATGTCATTTTGATACACTTTTAAGACTATAAACGCACAAGTCAGGAATGTAACAATTTGTGTAACACGTTAATTTGGGTTTTTTTTGTTAATTTTTGGGAGAAATTACAGTATGGGGTAACTATCACAACCAAATGCCTCTCTAGATGGTATCAGTGTACAGATAAAGGACACACAGAAAAGACACTGGTCAGATTTTTGACAGACTTCTTCAGATTTTGAATTGGAGCACTCAGACAGTGGGTAGTGTGTGTCCACCATGTGTCACCAAATGGCGGTTATTGTTTACACGAGCCATTTCTACTACCTCTTGTGGACTTTTTGAGAAGACATTATAAGACTAGTGCTTTTGGAAATACAATTCCTTGATAGAAACTACACAGACAGACGCATTTCAAGAAAGACTTTTGCACCTTTTTGTACTCGTTGCAATCTGCTAGGTTAGTTTTTATTCCATCTTTTTACACGTGGTCGATGATGAATTTTCTCGTCTTCTAAACCAACTCCAAAACATGCCTTTTGTAAAGAAACAGTTGATGAGCAAATGGCGAATGTATTTCTCGTGCACTTTTTGTTAGTGTGTAAATCATGACAGGGTGATTGGTGCCAAATGCAAAAGATGAATTTGTGATGTTTCTCAGGACCAAATCGACACAACCAAAATGTTTAAATAATTGTCCTGTAGCTTAAATTAGGTGTCGTACTTGTGACACAAGATGTGCATTTATAGTTTTATTAGTTTTTTTTTATTTTTCATTTTGCCACTCTTTGTTCTGTACTGTAGGTCAAATGATACTTGCAGATAAGGCGTAGTGTTTTCCCATGGTCAAAACTCATCACTGGCGGGCATTTTATTGTGTCTTGTTTTCAGCAAAGGTCCTTCTTTGGTATTTAATTCAACAAAAATGTCATTGAAGAACACTCCGAGCTTTGTACGGAAGCTCAAAGTGGTCAAAATTGAATAAATTAATATGAACACCATAAAGAAACATAAAGTTATAAAATAGTCCAATATGTACATTTAATAGTGATCAATAAATTCTGTTTTTTTTTTCATGTTAACATTTAAGGTATTTTTTTGAAAAAAAAAAAAATTCCTTTTTTTTGCATTTTTAACATGAAAATCGTTAACAAAAATAAGATGATGATCAAAAAAAATATTTACAGACATTAATACAGCACTTTAGGTAATTTTAATTTAAATCCAGCTGTTTTTTCCTAAGTGTCCTTTTCATAAATTAAAAAAAAATAAAAATCAAAAATGAAGTTTTTCCAAGTGATAATATTATTTCAAAATGCCACACTGTTTATCACAAATAATTTGACATGACGGATACAGCTACGTGATTGGCTGTGGACTCATTCAGACCAAAGCAACAGCCAATGACATAATTTTTAGTGCCTGGTTTGACTTCATTTACAAAAAAATTGTGATGAAATATGGTTTGGGGGAAATTTTGCATTATTTAACAAAAGAGTTCAGGCAAAAAAAGAACATTTTGAGAAAAAAAAAAAAAGTAGAATAACCTGTATTAAACACTCTTATTTTGAAAAGACGCCAAATCAATTGACATTTGATAAATTGAGTTTTAAAAATATTTTAGGCTATTTAACAATTAAATGGTTCTAATTTCAGATTTGTTCATATCATTTATTTCATAATATTTTTATTAGTTTAATTTTGACTACTTTAAGCTGCCATAGATATTAAGATGAGTAGAACGATTTATCTTGGATAAACATCAGAAGGACCAACAATCTCCAAGTTTGCCTGAATGTAACATCACCTACACCTGCATAATATCAAGCTTTACATATCACAACCACAGAGAAGCGATCAGCTGTGTAAAACTGCGCCTCATCTGCAAGTTTCACAAGACCCATCTCACATTCACTGCTGTGTACCAACCTAGCTCCATCTTTTATGCTCAGGTGTTTTGGCTGTTTTGTTTCAGTTTGACTTGAATTATATCTTTCTGTTTCTCAACCATTTGGGAGATTGTGCTCTGAAAGGCGTGAGCGGCTCAGATCAATTAAGAACATGTCAAAATCAGGAAAACCGTACGAGCTTAAAGCTGAAATGTAGCCTAGAAATAAGATGTAATCATCAGGATAAGAAACACCGGGCTAAGTAGGAAAGTTATGAAAATAATGGGGGAGAAAACGAGCATGAGGACGAAACATGCGGCTTTCATCACTGTCATTTTGGATTATCCTGCTGTGTGTTGCACTGGAGTGAGCTGAACATAAATGCACATTACAGCACAAGTTCACACTTAGCGAGAGGGGAAAGTTACAGTGGGAGCGGTGCCAGTACCTCGAGCCATTTCTGTGAACTGGTGGGATGCCTGCATGATGTGTTCATGTGCGTCATGACTGTCTTTTTGTATTGGCAATAACACATTCCTAAACCAACAAAGGTTTCTGTTACTGTGGAATACACTTTGAGGAATTAAATCTTTACACTTGAAGCCTTCAACCTGCTTTGCTGCGTGTTTTTTCTGATGACTCGAAATCTTGAAACACACTTTAACGACACTTGATGGCCTGTATTTTTTTATGTCTTTTACTTTTCATTCATCACGTCAATATTTAGTTACATTTAAATACTATATTCTGCTATGTATTAAGTCGGTTTCTGGTTGTCAAGGTAGCTAGTGCTCAGCTGCCGAAGGGCCCCTATGGTGTGTTTAGGTGCAAGACGATTGTGGTAATAGCAAGCAAAAAGTTAAAATATTACTGAAACAAATGTTGTTTGGTGTGATGGATTTAAGCTGAAATTAAGAGCAGCCTCTGTTGTTTAAAATACCATCTTAAGTTGTGTTTTAACAGGTTTGAATAATACACCAAAAAGCAAGAAACCTTTAAATTGTAAGAATTATGAATGGAGTTTGGTGCTCTGATCTTCACCTTTTAAAAAGTATGTTTTCATTTGTCATTCTTTTCACTATGGGGTTGAAATATTGGGTTAAATTTAAATATTGTTTGTCATGCAGGTACTTTAGTTTATTTATTGGACATTTTGTAACATCTCCACCCAGGCTGATTAAGTATGTGCTGTCACAACTGCTACATAAGACATTAATGCTTCCCCACAGGTGTGTGATGCTTACTGCTTTTTACCAACTTCATGTCTTAAGGCTGCTGCTGCGTTCAAGAACTGTGGGAATATCTGAAACATCTGCTTCAGGTTAAATGTCTTATGGTCGAGTTTTATTATTTATATTAGTCAATAACAACATCAATAGGCATCATCACATGTACAGTATATCACAGTAATTGAAATATACGGACAGAAGGTATGTATGTTTCTGTATTTACTCCACTATATTTCTGATGGCTGCGATCACCAGTTACTTTGCAAATACAATACATATGATGACCTTACAAAATGTGAGGCATTGGTTGAGACACACAACAGTATATACAGCAGTGATTATGAGCTCTATTTTTCTGCATAAGGCCTACTTTTACTTTTGATACTTTATAAGTCTTGCTCTGATGTGGTACTTAAGAAGTACTTAAGTACAGTTTTGAGGTACGTGTACTTTACTTAAATAATTCAATTTTCTGCCACTTTATACTTCTTCTCCACTCAGTGTTTTTAGAGACAAATATCATACCTTTTTTTATGCCACTACATTTACTTTAAAGTCTTTGTGTCTAGTTAATTTGCAGAGTGAGATTATGAATACAAAATATAACCAACAGATAAAAGATGGTGTATTTTTATAGATTAAGTCCCACCTTTTTCAGCCTACACATGAATGCATCAGTAATTTTTGGTAGAATATTATTTTGAAATGGGCCACTCTGCACACTGAGTTAGTACTTTAGGTATATTTTAATGGTAATGCTTGTGTATTTTTAATTATGTGAGATTTTGAATAGAATACTTTTACCTTGTTTTTCTACACTGTGGTGCTGCTTCGTTTACTGAAGTAAAACATCAGAGTACTCCTTCCACTGCTGGCTTCGCTAATAATACTTCTATAAATTTACTTCAGATTGTAATGCTTGTTGGATTGATTTATACACTTTGTTATATTTCATACTATATTTATTACAAATACTCAATTCATACTCTACTATACTTGCTATACTATATTCTGTACAGTGTTAATGACACAATCACTAAGGATCCTACATGAAGACACTGCCTAAAACTGCCCAATCATACATATGTATTTACTATTACAGTCTTTTTTAATTTAAATGTACAAACTGAAGGAACTGACGGGATTACTCTTACTAGAATTAGGATTTTATGTGACAAATAAATTGATTGATGGATAAGTATCATTACTTAATCATATTATTCATATTAATCTGGTTTACATATACTAAACTTGCAGACTCTGCTGCTATTAATCACCTTGCAATTATGTCTTTAATTGCTCTTTTTTAGTTTCTGTTTTACTTCTATTGTTATTATAGTTTTGTACACTCATCGGCCACTTTATTAGGTACACATTCAGATGGTAGGGTCAGAATTTGGTGTAAACAACATGAAAGCATGGATCCATCCTACCTTGTATCAACGGTTCACTGAGCATGGTTTAAACACCACAGCCTGCCTGAGTATTGTTGCTGACCGTGTCCATCCCTTTATGACCACAGTGTACCCATCTTCTGATGGCTACTTCCAGCAGGATAACGCACCATGTCACAAAGCTCAAATCATCTCAAACTGGTTTCTTGAACATGACAATGAGGTCACTGTACTCCAATGGCCTCCACAGTCACCAGATCTCAATCCTATAGAGCACCTTTGGGATATGGTGGAACGGGAGATTCACATCATGGATGTGCAGCCGACAAATCTGCAGCAACTGTGTGATGCTATCATGTCAATATGGACCAAAATCTCTGAGGAATGTTTCCAGCACCTTGTTGACTCTATGCCACCAAGAATCAAGGCAGTTCTGAAGGCAAAGGGATCCCACCTGGCACTTGCAGAGTGTACCTAATAAAGTGGCCACTGAGTCTATTGTGTCTAGTGTACAGTTTACATATACTAAACTTGCAGACTCTGCTGCTATTAATTACATTGTAATTTTGTCTTTAATTGCTCTTTTGTAGTTTCTATTTTTACTTCTATTGTTATTATAGTTGTATATGTATCTATTTAGGCTATTATGTGCTTTTTGCTTTATTTCTATCCTTCTGTAAATAAAAGCTGGGTCACAAAACAGGTGAGCACACATTAGCAGGTGGTGGGATAACTGTTCGTCTGCTATGTGCCAAACAGCATAGGAGAAACACTGATTTCTAGCACAAAACTGCTTTATTCAGTGTTTTTACTGGTTTTAATCACCCGGTCTGTTTGCTTTGGAGAGGAGGAGAACTCCACGGATAATTCGGCTTATGGTACTTTTCTCTCTGTTTTTTGTCATTGTCTGTTTTTCTCCTTAAGTTGACGGCTTCTTGACCTCTCCTTACACATTTTTTTTTTTTTTTACCAATTGGATTTTATGCAGTTTTAGGTGTGTGCAAATAAATAAAATAAAATAAAACAAAACAAATTAGAAAAAAAAATAGAATAATAAAATAATTCGGCTCATGATAAAAAATAAATAAATAAATAAAAACGGAACATTGAACACTGAAGGTATTTAAATCTGGAGAAATTTCAGCGGGTTGCAGACATCAGTCCTCACTGCTAGACACCACTTTCTCTCCCTAAATCTCACACAACGGACCTTTAAATAGTGAAGCTGTAAAGTTCGAGCTTTCCCACAGCACATGAACGCAGCGTAAATCATCGACGGCCAATGCGGGGGGCGGGGTCCCCGTGACGTCAGGGGGTGGAAGAAAACAGCAGAGCAGGAATCAAAACAAGAGACGGACACGCCTTCGTTGTTAAAGGTTACAGCAGCTTATTCTTCATAACTGCTGCTGTCAGGGCTGCACAAAACCCCGCGTGTCGTGCACGAGGACACCCAAAAAACAACAACAACAACAACACAAAGGGGGAAAACACTGCAAACAAAACAAAGCACCTCTGCAGAAATGGAGTCCACAGAAATGTCAGACAGCGTTGACAGCAGCCGCTGATAGAGGTCGAAAATAACACTGACATCCGAATCGTGTACAATGCCCAACCAGAAGAACAACAAGGGCAAGAAAAGCAAACGCACTAACAGTAGCGGAGATGAGCAGGAAAATGGAGCCTGTGCGGCCGCAACAGGAGGCGCGGCCGCGGCGGCTGCTGCACCCAGACACGAGCGCTCGAGTGGTAAGAGAGAGGAAACGGACACAGATGTAGAAGTTTGGTGATGCTGCCTTCCTGCCAGGGGAGAAGCTCTGCTCTGTCTTGTCTCTGCGACTGTGACATGCATGCACTGCGACGTTGCAAATGGCTCTAACCCCCCCCCTCTCCACTTGTCTCCACTCACCGTGCCAAAGTTCGATTCAAAAACGTATCAATTTCATGGTTACTTGATTATCGGCACATATTGTCTGCACTGGTCGATCACGACTTGAGGCCTTGCATGAATGGGTTTTGTTTGGTCGCTTATGTGAAGCTGCATGTAGCTTGCACTCATCTGCATTGAAATCTCGGTTTGTGTAACTGTTTACAGTGATTTTGAGAGCCACTGTGGTTTGTTTTAGTGCAGGAAGATTGTGGGTAGAGCAGGCAAACAAGTTGAATTATTACAGAAACGAGTGTTGCTTGGCGTGTGGGACGCTAGCCGAATTGAAGAGCGCTAAATTTTATTTCATAATCAATCTTTAGTCTTGTTTTAATGCATCTTAGTTTCACAAGATAAGCTAGAAATCTCTAAATTGCCAGATTTATGAATGGGCTTTGGCGCGTCGAGCTGGTCAGGGGAAAACAGCAATAACACCGACTAAAATGGTACTCCTTGAAGTCAAATGCAGCCTCAGTGAGTCTTAATGACACAATGCAGCACTTTCTTTGAATGCCATCACACCCACGGTAATGGTCGATGGCTGCTACATGTGGTGTGTAGGCTACAAAGCAGGCCTCAGCTGTCTTTTTCCTGAAGCGCACCTTGTCCATAGTTTTGGGTTGTGGCCTTCCTCAAGGGTAATACTGACACCTCACCGCTTGTCTGCGCACTCAAGTTCAACTTCATCCCACACAGACTAACAGCAGCTAGGGGAAAAGTTACCATGCACTCTTAAATGTGGTACACATGTGGTTTGATGCAGACTTGGATTTGGAGAAACAGCAGAACCAATAAGTGTTTGCACTTTAGATAATAGTGGTATTATATGTTCTGAGTCACTTTATTTCATTGTTATAACACTTTAACTATGAACTTACAATACCTATGTTGCACCTGAGAGGTAGAAAAAGCACTAATTTTGTATATTTATTTTTCCAAATAGTTAAGCATACTTTTTTTTAGTAATTAGAGTTGATATTCAGATGCTTAAAGCTGAAACAATTAATCTATTAATCGAGCTACTAATCTTTAAACGCAAAAATGCCAAACATCAAAGGTTTTTAGCATCTCAAATATAAAGATTTGATGCTTATTCTTGTCTTAAATTATAACAAAATTATATTATCTTTAGGTTTTGGGACTATCAGTCAGACAAGGACAAAGACTAACCTCCTGAGACCCTGTGTCCTCATATGAGGACATCACATTTAGGTTTGCTCAACCTTATACTTGATTCTGCTTAACTTAGACCTGTTGTCCTCGTCCGTGGACACTTTTTGTGCCATCTAGTGGCAGTAAGGGCACAATACACTATTCCATGTAAAAACAAGATGACAGCCATCTCTGCCAAGTCTGTCCGCAGCCGATTCCGACAAAGTCCAAAACCTGATCACATTTTATGGTTTATTTATGATTAATAATGTTTGTAGTTTGATATGGAAACAAATTTGACCAGTTTTAGCAACAGTAACAAGCTAAGACACTGTTAATTTGGAAGCACTTGTTTGAGGACATTAGACTAATTATCGTCTCGTTTGAGGACATTGGGACTTTATTATGGCCTCGTTTGAGAACATTAGACTAATTATCATCTCGTTTGAGGACATTGGGACTTTATTATCGTCTTGTTTGAGGACATTGTGATTTTATTATCGTCTCGTTTGCGGGAATTAGACTAATTATCATCTCGTTTGAGGACATTGGGACTTTATTATCGTTGACAATGTTTAGTTTTTTATACTTATCTTCCTACTGATCCCCATAGCTAGGAGAAATTAAAAAAGCATACCAAGCAAAAGTTCACATCTCGGGAGGATGAATTATATTAACCAGAAATCCATAGATTAATCAAGAAAATAATCAACAGATGATGATGATTATAATAATAAACTTTATTAATAAAGCACTTTTCATGGCAAAGTTACAAACTGCTTTACATTGGTTGATCCCGGAGTTAAAACAATGTGGAATTCAAGCAATTAAAATCAGGCAATTCTAAGGAATACAAAGAATGATAAAAGTAAAATAAAGATAAAATACCATCGCTGAAGCAGATAAGCAAAGTTGGTAACCAAACAATCAGAGTAATACAAAATAAAAGTACAATAACTGATGACAACACAAGATAATCAGTTGAGACATATATAATAGCTGGATGCTGGCTCACAGGGGAGCAGCATCTCAACATCTGATAAATCTGTAGTTGTAGCCTTTAACCGAATGTATATGTATTACCTTAAAATAAGTAAAGTGTATTGTTAAGTCACCTTAATCTCACTATTATTCAACACTAGGTTTCTGTGCGTATTTGTCTCTACTGTGTGGTGACTAGAGGGAGAGAAAGAGAAAAATAAAACCACGCTGACACTGAGTGTACAGGAAAAGGAAGGAGGAAACTATCCCCCACACACACACCCACAGTGTATTATCATGAGCTACTTCTTGTAGAGACTGTGTGCCCACATTTACTTGATTCACATCCAGACTTGACAGTTGGCAGAGCTTGAATAGAGGCGCTCACAGGCTTGGATGGCCTAGTTGAATTTCATAAATCGACGGCGATGAGACAGCGAGGACACTGAAATCACTCTTTGAATGTTTTCACGTCATGTTATGCTGTTTATATGATGTAACGTATGGTGGAGAGACTGCTTTAATGTCACCACTGTCTCAGACAAAACAACAAAAATGCTTGTTATTGAGTCTTTAATGTGAGAATGTCTTTGTCTTATGTTATAGTAGATTGATTATCTTTGAGTTTGGGGCATTTGACGTCACCTTGGGCTCCAGGTATCTCTCCAGGTATCTCAAGGTATCTCTCCAGGTATCTCAAGGTGACGTTAATGTCCAAAACTCAAAGGGAGTGAAGCAAGCAATTGATTAACCTACAATGAAAATAATCATTAGTTGCAGCCTTAAATTGAATAACTTTGGGGTTTGGACTTAGAAAATTAGCAATTTAAAGAGATTACCTGGTTTCTTTTGTCATATTTTTTGGCATCTTACAGAGCAAATGATTAACTGATTAATGAAAAATGAAATCGAAAAACATTTAGCGAGCTAGCTTCCCTGATATCTACAGGTAGTGTGTTCCATAGATTTGGGGCGTAATTGTACAAAGGCCGCATCCCTGATCTTCGTTCGGCTGTTGCTGGGAACCTCCAATAAACCACCAGCAGATGATCGCAGTGTTCTTGGAGGCAAATAGTTAACAAGGGAGTTAATGATGTAGCTAAGTCCCAGCCCATGTAGGGCTTTGTATACAAGGAGGAGGACCTTAAAATCAATTCTGATTGTAACAGGAAGTCAGTGCAGAGCAGCTCAGACTGGCCTGATGTGCTCTCTCCTCTTGGTTCTGGTTAATAGCCGAGCTGCAGAGCTTTGAATGAGGTGAAGTCTCTCAGTGGCGTTTTTTGGGAGGACAGTAATAAGTGTGTTATAGTAGTCTAGTCGACATCTTTTTCATTTAGAAATGGTCATACTTTGGCGATGTTTCTGAGGTGGAAAAATTATGTTTTCGTCACCTTCTTAATGTGGGACTTGAAGCTTAGATCTGAATCAAGGATCACACCAAGACTTGTCACTTGCAGAGTTTAATTCCCCAAATTATTAAGCAGCAGTTCTTTTTTTGTTAGAGATGTACTGTCGTGTGTCATCCGTGTAGATATTGAAACAAACATTGTGTTCTCGAATGATGTCACCAAGTGGCAGCATGTACAGTGAGAATAGTAAGGGACCAAGGCAGCTCCCTTGTGCAACCCCAAAACAGAGGTCATGTTTCTCAGACACATGACTGACGTAAAACTTCCTCCCTTTAATGTATGTTCTCAACCACTGTAACACACAGTCAACTTTTCAAAAAAATAAGTTAATAAATCTGACTTTTGTGGGAACTTGTGGTGACAACACAATAGAATCATCCCCTCTCCTCTTGTCTTTACACATCCAGAGGTCCAGTGTGCGACCCCTCTGGGCTGCAGCTTGGCCCGTCCCATCGACCTGGAGAAGGACGACTACCAGCGGGTGCTCTGCAACAATGAGCTCTGCCCTTACGGCAACTGGATGCACCTGCAGTGTTTCTACGAGTGGGAGAGCTCCATCCTCGTCCAGTTCAACTGCATCGGCCGCGCGCGCTCCTGGAACGAGAAGCAGTGCCGGCAGAACATGTGGACCAAGAAGGGCTACGATCTGGCCTTCAGGTTCTGCTCCTGCCGCTGCGGCCAGGGCCACTTAAAGAAAGACACCGACTGGTATCAGGTGAAACGTATGCAGGATGAGCGCAAGAAGAAGCCATCTGAGAGGAGCACGGGCAGGAATGGGTCCGGTGGAGGTGCTTCAGGATCAGGGGACGGGCTTTTTGAGGAGCCCAAGAGAAGTAAACCACCAGGAGCATCAGGAGGAGGTAAACTACCCCACAGAGCCTCTAGTCAGGAGTTACCTCGGAGACAATCAGTGGACCGTCAGAACTCTACAGAGAGAGGAGCAGCAGCAGCAGGAGGAGCAGTAGGTGGAGGACCCCCTGCAGGAGGACCCTTTTCTCTGGGGCCTCCTCAGAAGTCTCCATGTGACTCCCCAGGACAATCTCCCCCAACTGGTTTCACTTTCTCCCCCACTGCTGCCCTCGGAGCAGGATCCGGAGGGGCAGGATTGCGAGGTTCCCGTCAGCTAGGAGAGTTCCTCAAATCAGCCGTCCACATGGACCCGCAGAGGAAACACTTGCTGGTCGGGGGAGCTCTGGGTCGGGGCGGCGGCTGCTCGATGGGAGCATCCAGCGGTGGAGCTCACCTCGACCCCGGATCTGTAATTCCCCTGCCGCTGTCCTTCGCCCTACCACTTCACCACCGGCTCACCTCCGGCAGTGTGGGCGATGGCACCCACTCCCACCCAGTGCAGTTCCTGAGGAGGCTGGACCTCTCAGAGCTCCTCACCCACATCCCTCGACATAAACTCAACACCTACCACGTCCGCATGGAGGATGATGCCCAGGCAGGCCAGGGAGAAGAGCTGCGCAGGTACACGGTGAAACATGTTTCCCCTCTGCCTTCATATGTAAACTTAAAGGGACAGTTCACCCCAAAATCAAAAATACATATTTCTCCTCTTACCTGTAGTGCTGTTTATCAATCTAGATTGTTTTGGTGTGAGTTGCAGAGTGTTGCAGATATCAGCCGTAGAGATGTCTGCCTTATCTTGAATATAATGGAACTAGATGACACTTGGCTTGTGGTGCTCAAAGCCCCAGAAACTCAACAGCAATGTCTCTTTCCAGAAATCATGACCAAGTTACTCAAGATAATCCACAGATCTTGTTGTGAACAGTTTCATGTAGGAAATATTTTCCTTCTACTATACACCTGCCAACTGTATCACTGCACAGAGGGAAGCGTGCATCTACTCATGGACAAGAGGCTCATAGACATTAATTAATGGCGTCCTTCTCAGCTGAGCTTTAACGCTAGGTAGCTCAGTGTTTTTACGTGAGCTAGCAGGATGCAAGCTTCCTTCAAGGTGGTATTACAGTTGGCAGGTAGGTCTTTTGAAAAAAAAATTGTTCCTACATGGATCTTATCACCACCACTTTGAGTACCACAAGCCGAGTGCCATCTAGTTCCATTATAGTGGAGAGAAGGGAGACATCTCTACGGTCATATTGACCAACACTCGGCAACTCACACCAGAATAATCCAGACTGATAAATAGCACTACAGGTAAGTTTGAAAAAAAAGTTTGACAAGCATAAGATATGAAGTTTAATCAACAACTGTTCAGTTGAACTGACAAAGTTACAGATATTCTTAAATTTTGGGAGTCAGTTTTGACATTAAGAACTTATTGACGTGGCTGCTGGAGCTACTTTTCCACTTCATAGAGTGTTAACCTTGTTGAACTATAACTGGAGTGAAGGCTGAACTCCATACTAACCATCATGGATCACATTGTTTTTATAATTATGAAAAGAAACGACATGACTTAAAGGGATAGTGCACCCAAAAATGAAAATTCAGCCATTATCTTCACCCATATGCCGATGGAGGCTCAGCTGAGTCCTCACAACACTTACGGAGATCCCAGGGGAGAGGGGCTAGCAACACAACTCCACCTAATGCAGGCTGATGGCACCCCAGATTCAAACGTCCAAAAACACATAATTGAAACCACAAAATATCTCCATACTGCTCGTCCGTAGTGATCCAAGTGTCCTGAAGCCCCGACATAAAAAGTTGTCTGGAAAAACATCATTTAAACTCTATTTTTAGCCTCATTGGAGGTATTGGAGATATGTTGTGGTTTCAATTATGTGTTTGTGGACGTTTGACTCTGGGGCGCCCTAAGCCTCCATTAGGTGGAGTTGTGTTGCTACCCCCTCTCCCCTGGGATCTCCGCAAGGGATGTGAGGACTCTAAAACTTCATCTGAGCCTCCATCGGCATATGGGTGAGTAGATAATGGCTGAATTTTCGTTTTTGGGTGCACTATCCCTTGAACATGAATTAAAGACACAAAGTAGGATTCCATCATGTTTATGTCAAACCACAAAATAGAGGCATCTGTGGAGAGTTTTAACACTCAAACAATGCATGCTGGGGAGTCTACTAAATCATCAGGTGTCATTAGAAAAACTAAATGTAATGAGCTGAGTGAACTCTGAGCAGTACATTTTTTTAACTCATTTCAAGCCAAAAGACTTTATTTGATCAATATAATGTTAGAAAACAGCACAAATGCCAGTCACATTTTGTGACTGGCAAGAGTTTATTTTGTCCAACCAACAGTCCAGAACAACTCATGTTAATAAGTAATAATGTCCTGTAGTCATCTACCAAGAAAAAAAGTTTTAAGTTGAATTAACTTGAAATGAAGTAAAATATAAAGACAGATTGATTCTACCTAATTCCTGTATGACTCACAGTGTGCAACCTCTGGGACATCTGATTGTTATTCTTGGTTAAAAAAAAAAACAGCGTAGTCTTACTGTAGCTTATAGTGTAGTTGGTTTGTTGTTATAAAACCAGATTCTTTGTCACAGTAATTGTCAAATATCTGATAAATACATATGTGTTACCTAGTAACATAAACTTAGAGATTAAATATATTTAGCTTACAATTAGAGATTGACCGATTCATCGGGGCACCGATAGTGGCAGATAGCTGTAACCTCCGCTTGTCACGTGGGTATGGCGGTAAGGCTTTTGCACGGAGTACCCCACATGCAAATACAAGGTAATGTGTGCTTTAGATAATTTCTATGATTTAAATGAAAGTTAACTAATGTAGGACGGCTTTATTTCTTTATTAGGGGCATAATACAGTTGTTATAAGGCTGTTTATAGCAATGACAAACAAATCCAGTTTATTTAGTAGCTGTGTGGGTATACGCGTTGATGGCTGATTGTATTTTACTGCGTGTGCCTGTTACAACTTGTTTGGCTTGTTCAAAGGTGGTCTCTCGTAGCCCACACTGTTATGTTGTGTTCTTTATAAGTGTGTTATAGCAGCGGTGTCTCACAGTCACAGGGGTGTCTGTGTTGATTTGTGCACCTGGCCTATGATTTGTGTCCAGGTGTTCAGGTTCATGACATAATTCTGGTAGCATTGATTATTACTTTTAAATGAATTTCATGGTGTATGTTGTTAGTAGCAGTCGCTAAAATTTCATCGGCAGATCAATCGGCTCCAAACTATCATTATTATATCGGCCGTTAAAAATCCACTATTGGTCGACCTCTACTTACAATTGTAAGAGAGCAATCAGTTCATTCTGAAAAATGATTGACTCTGAAGTTTTTCAGAATCACACTCTTCGTTCAGCTGCTGTTTCAATACCATATATGCTTAAATTAAAACAGTGAGGTAAGGAAAGTTTATTTAAATGCCGTGCATAAAGCATAAAAGGCATTAAGACATATAGAAGAAACACAAAGCCGTATTAAAAGGGATATATTTGTATGCATTTAGAATACTAAAAGTAAAATTCAATATAATATAATGTCAAGCACAAACTGGAGAAGGACACACAGACTCTGATAAAAGTTCAGGGTCTTAAATCAGGCTCAGGTCAGTACTTGGGTTATCAGTGACACAGGCAAAGGTATCCAGTTCGACAGACGAAAAGGGTGAACAGGCAAAATTGGTATAAAACACACTAAGAAGTAACACTAGGAAAACACTGGAACTCTCACTCAAAAGTAAAAACAATCTGACAACAAAGAAGGAGAAGACAGGGCCTGAAATAACTAAGACAAGGGTGACAATACCCCCTTTTCCATCGCAGGAACTTTTATCAATTACCCAGAATTATGAAAAACCTCCGCGTTTCCACCGAAATTACCTGGGTAAAAAACTTACCCTCAACCCCAAATTTACCCTGGAAAAAGTACCTAGTAGGTGGGTAGGACTTTTCAGATTACCTGGAATTCTTGAGGGGTGGGGCCTTTTGCTGAAGAGCGCTGATCGGTGGAACACACACTTGCAGCGTTCCGCACTTCCTGGTACGGGCAGCCGCGGCAAGCTTTATTTAATTTCTACAAGCTTCACTTCGTTTGTGTTTTGATTAAGGATGGGTACCGAAACCCGGTACTGAATTAGCTCCGGAACTAAATTAAGACCGTAGTGTTGATCAGCGCTAACGGTATCTACACACACCGATGCGACACGATAACCGGTGAACAGCCGAGCGGCAGCAGCGGAAACAAAGTGAAGATAACTTGAAAATGACTCGAGCTTTGGCAGCTACACTCGTTACTGTAGGTGACATTACACCTTAGCAAGTCAGAAGCCAATGCTTTATCAATACATGTGTTCAGTAAGCATGAACATGTAAACATGTAGACAGAGATATGCTCGTCCACAGTCTCTCATCCACCGACACTAACGATATGTCTTACACAAGGACAGCACGCTAGTTCAGTTGATAGCGAATTGTTACCAATAAGCTAAAATGACAGCTGTCTGTATGTAGACTAACTTAGTTTGACACTTATCTTAAAATACTTTTAAACTTAGCTGCTGGCTGAGACAAACAGCCCCAACTCTCTACACCAGCATGTAACCAGCCAAGCTGGCGGAGCCAAATACAGGGCACACGCCAAATCATCTACGTCATCACGCTAATTTGAATAAATTTTCCGCAACTTTGAGGTGCGGTGGAAACGCAAACCACACAGATTACAAGGAATTCTTTTACCCAGGTAAATAAATTCTTGGTAATAAAAGTTCCTGGAAATGTTGGTGGAAAAGGGGCTATTGAGACAGGTGAAACACATCAGGGAAGGGCAAGTAATCACAAAGGAGGGAAACTTGACAGGACGTGGGATCTAAAACAAGACAAGACTGTCTGTGCTTTCCAATACCCATACTACCATACTGTATAGAATGTCAGAAAAAGATTGAGTTAGTCCCAATACATAGTATGTCAAATGCAGTATGTCAAAAACACCAGGATGTTTTACTACATCAGGTCTGATTTTGCAGTATGTAAGCCTGCATGCTTTTCTGGGTATTCTGACCCACAATCCTCTGCACAGTGGACGATACCGCAAACACATGACAGCTTGACCGCTGATTGACAGTTGTCACTCGTCCCAATGACGGATGACAGCACATTCAAGTAACTGATGACCAGTCGAACAGTAATAATAGGAATATTAATTGTTAAAGTAAACAATTGTGAATATCACAAACAACAATAGGACATAACTATGAAAATGAACGACAGAGAACTGCACAAGGAATTTCACTGTTGCAAATATATAATGTTAGAATCTGTCCAGTTATAAGCTTAGCGTAGTATGTCCTGATTGTGTGCACACTGCATGCAACAGTACCTTTTCAGGGCAGCTGCAGTATGTACTAACAGTAAAAAGAAAAAGTATGTAATTTGGATGGCACCAAATGGTCAGGGATGACAAATAAACATGAACTCAGGTAGCTTGACAGATCATGACACAAAAGCTAAAACTGAATAAACTGGATGAAACAGCTACTATGCAGCATAGGATTTGAATGAGTGTATAAATGAATGCAGCTGTCTGACTGACCTGTAACGACACCATTACAGTAGCTTCTATAGTTATTATTGATTGAAACAGAAATGTTTAGTAAAGAATAACTGTCTGCCGCTCAAACATCACCTTGAAGCGTATTCTTGTGTGTTTAAATGCTAACTTTGAGCTCTGTTGCTCATAATATCAGATACCAGATGACAATGAAAATGTGCAGAATTTAAAAACAAACTTCCACATTTGTAGCAAAACTGTTGTCAAAAGATGGTGCAGCTATTTGGACCATCGTTTTTATTTGTGTTAAGTTTATATTCGTGGCAGCAACCACAATCATAGTGGCTTTGATGCTGCGAAAAGCCAAGCAGAATAATGGGATGAACTTGGACACCTTACTATTTACGTTATGAACATTATAGAAAAAATGCAAGAAGCGTAGCTATGAATACTTGACTCCATTTTATAAATCAAACCAGTACCTAACATATAAATCCTGAATAATCAGAGCTAAGTAAATGTTGGACTTACATTTGCCTGGTGGACACAAACATGACTTCTCCACACAGTGTCTCATTAGACATAAAAACTATGATTACAAAGAGACATTTTTATGCACTCATGTTGTCTGTGACTTGATATTTATTGGCAGTAATGAGCTGTGATCCAAATTAGGAGCTACTTACAAGATTGATTCTTAATTAAGTACAACTCAGCTTGTTTATAAAGACAGCTCTGATGAAACCATACCAAAGGAAAACCATGCAACACATAAACCTGCCATGTTGTTTGTATCCATGTTGTCCTGCAGGTTCATCCTGTCAGCCCTCAGTGCGAGCCAGAGAAACGTGGTCAACTGTGCGCTGTGCCACAGAGCGCTGCCAGTGTTTGAACAGTTTCCTCTGGTGGACGGGACTCTGTTTCTCAGCCCTTCACGCCACGACGAGATAGAATACGACGTCCCCTGCCACCTTCAAGGTCAGACCTGCTTTCAAGATCATGGCGTGAGACACAAACACTTAAATGTGTGGGGTTAACATAGCTCAAAATAGTGCTAATATTTTTCACATTTGATTCACAAATGGTAAATGGACTGCACTTTTATTGAGCCTTTCTAGTCTTCTGACCACTCAAAACGCTTTTTTACACACAGACACATTCATCCATTCACACACACACACAAGGTGCCACCTGCTACTCAGTAACCATTCACATGCTGTCACACACTGATAGAACAGCCATCAGAGGCAATATGGGGTTCAGTATCTTGCCCAAGGATACTTCGACATGCGGAATGGAGGAGCTGGGGATCAAACCCCTGGTCTCTGAAGTTACGCACTTTCATTTATCCCACGATAATGCTGTGAAAAGTGGGGGGAAAAGTTAGTACTGTCTACAGATAAGAGCAAGAGGGTGGAATAACCTATTAAACAAAGAAATATCTACTGTAAAACACATTCCAACATATTAAGGCCTGTCTCAATTAGAGGCCTGGTCTGGTTGCCAAGCAGGTACCAGGTACTGTAATCCTCGGGTGCCATAAAACAAGTTATCATAACTCTATCTCTGTCTCTAGTGGGGTTTCCATCCAAATGTATTGAAATTTTTGAGCGAATTTTATGAAAATGCGCAAAAGAAAATGCGAATTTATGCCCGTTTCCATTCGTTATTTTTTTGTGATTATTGGGAGTCAAGAGGAAGAGCAGTAGGTAGTGCTTCTCGTGAAAAATGAACAAAATAAAAACACCCCCGTAGAAGAGTGCGCCATGAGATGACGTCACAAGAGAGCGTCTTATGCCCACTGTAAACAACAACACACCAACTGACACTCAACAACTGACCATGGACAGATTCCTGATAAACCTGTCGACTCTTGGGAGAACTCTGGTTAGCATTTTGTCAGCGTTCACAGCGTACCTAACCATCTTGAAGAAGAGACAACAAAGAAGAAGTTTAATATTAAGAGTACTGTCGGAAATAGCTGGAAGGAGACCACCGCGTCATTCTCCGACTTTTGGGAAGTAACGTTAGTTGTCCAGCAGCATTTCGCTCACGAACTCTGGCTGAAACATTTCCGTATGTCAAAGGCCACATTTGAGGATCTGTGTGCCGGTACGTCATCGTTTATTCACAAAACCTGTTTCCATAGCAAAAAGTTGCATTTTCCTTTTATTGATACGCTGACAAATCCAACCCCTCCGAGCGTAAAAACGTTTTTGCGAATTTTCGGCCTTTTTTCGAATTTCTGGTGTTTCCATTCAAGTTTTTTTTTTTTCTGCAATTTTTGAAAATACGAATAAAAATAGGTGGATGGAAACCCCACTTCTGATGCCCTGTATGTCAGAGCTAGATCCTATTAATGATTCATAATAAATGTTTTTCAAAGCCTAATTTTTAAACAAGTAATATTCATACTGGTTTAAATAAACAGTTTCATCGTATTTCCCATCCAACAGTTTTGTGTGAAAGGAATTAAAGGCCTCTCCCTAATATAGGCCTGTTGATTTCAGTGATTTAAGTAAATAATAGCCTGGGCTACTAATTGAAGTTATACAGTATTTGGGGCGTTGGTGGCTTAGTGGTAGAGCAGGCGCCCCATGTACAAGGCTGTTGCCGCAGCGGCCCGGGTTCCAATCCAGCTTGTGGCCCTTTGCTGCATGTCATCCCCCTCTCTCTCTCCCCCTTTCACGCTTACCTGTCCTGTCCATTAAAGGCAAAATGGCCAAAAAAATATCTTTAAAAAAAGAAGTTATACAGTATTTGAAGATATTATTCACAAATCTCTCTCTCTGTCTCAAACTCAGATCAAACTATAATACTAAGCAGTGCTGATCAAATATAGACAAATATTCTGTTATTGTATTGTCTATTTCTCACCTAAAATGTTTTCAGAAACATATTTTAGTGCACTGTTTGGCTGTATTTCGAGAGTTTGTGAACAGGAAGTGAGGGCCGTACTGTTTCCTGCATAGTGAAAACAGAGACTGAAAAAACTTAGATCAAACAGTAAAACTAAGCAGTGCTGATAAAATATGAACCAAGATTCTGTTACTGCTTTGCCTATTACTCACCTAAAATGTTTTCAGAAACATATTTTCGCTCACTGTTTCACTGTAGTTCGAGACTGTTTATTACCAGCTAGCTGCCATATTGTTTCCTGCATCAAAACGGCCACCAGCAGGAGTGTTTATTGGTCTGGTGCATCTCAGTGTTTTCCGGTTGGTGTAGGTTTTTTACCTCTTGAGCAAAAACAAATGCTGCAGGTTTTCTCTGGTCATTTTTTGAAGACCATCTTTCCAGCAGTGAAATACTTCCGATGAAAACCAGCAGAAACACATGAAGCCAGTCGTGTTACCAAGCTCTGAATCTCCAGGACCGCTTGTAGTCAGAAAAAAAATTGCACATTTACAGAGCTGCAACCATTAATATTTAATTTGCTCAATTATGTATTCACTCTCTATTTAAAATGTCCAAGCTTTGCTTTCTTTAAAGACAGATTATGACTAGTTAATCCATCAATAAGCCCAGTTCGTACTGTGTTTATAGACATAAAAGGTTTTCTGCTGGCTTCTGCACAGTCCAGCATGAATGTGAATTAGCACAGCGGCCGCATGAAGCTTCTTTGATGTGCCGGCCCACGAGCTTTAATATGTATGGTCCTTGATATGCATCAGTGTGAAAGGATTATTTATTCAGTTTGTCATGTTATTGTGCGGCAGGCAGAATATAAATGTTGGCCAAAGAGAAACGGTTGACACTGTACAGTTAAAAAATGACGTCATGTCAATTTGTTTATTTAAAAGTAGCTGACAGTTAGGACCTTTTTTCCCTTAAGAAGGTGGAGTTTGGAGAAAATAGACGTGGAAATGCACGTGGGTTTTTACAACACAAGTTCACTGAAACACACCAGAACACCCGAATCATGACTCTCTGTGTGAGTGGCTCTGAACTCATTCGTGTTTACAGTGTTACGTGGATTATAAACTGCATTGTATTCCCTCCATAGCTTCAGTTTGATGAGGTTTGAGTGAAGCTGCAATGATTAATTATTTAGTTGACTTTTAATGCCAACTATTTTGGTAATCAAATAATTGATTTAGTCATTTTTAAGCTAAAAAACCCCAAACATGTTGGTGACATGCTTCTTAACTGTGAGAATTCAACGCTTTTAATTGTCAAACATGATTGTAAACCAAATAGTTTTGGATTTTGGAATGAGCTACACAGGGCATGCTTCACTGTTTCCTGACATTTCATTCACAAAATGATTAATTGATGATGAAAATAATCGTTAGTTGCAGCCCCTAGTTTAAGGCTCTGCTTGGGTAGCATAGATTTAAAACTAACACGCTAAATAAAATGACCTGCAACTGTTTTCCAAGTGTGGCTTTGTTTGTATTCACACAGAATTCGTACAGAGCTGGGAAAGTTTCATTTCTGGACATGCCAGGCTCTTCTTGTAGGAAGTGAAACCACATTATGGTAATCAGTCATAGTCAACTTTTATTTGTGGACAGGCTTGCTGACTGTCCATCAGCTCAGTCACCCAGGCTGCTGTGGTCTGTAACTGTATGACAGCATTGGGGCTTTTCCATGGACACTTTTGGCCACACCACGTCAAACCATGCCGCATTGATTTCCATTTCCATTTCCAGTTCATAACCCGAGATAGATGATCTCCAGAGTCAGGCCAAAGATCACGCAATCACTTCCAAGCAGGTTGTGGTGACATCAGGAGGGCTTCGTCATCATAATTCAGAAAATAATGAAATAATGCAACTAGAGAAACCATCAGAAGTTCTAGCTTTAGACTGAGATAATTAAATAATTTAAATCACTGTGCTGCCCAAATACCCCTTTTCCACCAACATGGAACTGGTTCTGTTCTGGTTCTGTTACCTAATTTTGAACTGTTTGGAACATTTCCAAAAAAAAGTGGTTCAGAACCAGAAAAGTTTGTTCTCAGCTGGAACCAGAAAATATGAGGTCTTGATCTAAAGTGCGAACTGTGATGACATCAGTGGGCGTATCATATACAGACTGGAGAGAAAGGATGGAGAAGGCAACATTTGAAAAGTCAAGTGAGAAATCATCAGAAAAAATCGAGTGTGCAGTGGTCTTATTAATAGTTGGTCCTTGCTTGTTTTTTGGGTAAAAACAAATATCTGTGAAGCGCAGAGGAGCTCAGCGGTTAGAGTGGGGGTTCCATGTATAAAGGCATTGTCCTTGCTGCAGTGGCTGTGGGTTTGATTCCATCCTGGAGCCCTTTGCTGTGTATCATCCCCAGGCTAAAAGGCAAAAAAGCCAAAAAAATAATCTTTAAAAAAATATATATATCTGTAATAACAGAAGTTAAGTAAAGTTTGCAGGTAAAAAATGTAATCCGCCATTTTGCTTCTGCTGTTTACTTCCAATGTGCAGTGTGCAACGTCTTCCATTGATACATCCTTGATTATAATGGTTCCACTCAAAACTGATCGAAATGCAGGCTGGTCCACGAGATAGTACCAAGGTTCTCCAAGAACCCTGAACATAACTGGCTCAAGAACCAGAGCTAGTTTGGTGAAAAGGGGTAAAACTCTACTATGAGCAAGTTTTATGATTGAATTTTCATCGTAAATCAATCAATACACCTAAATGTCAACTGGTTACACTCCGTTTCCATCTTTAGTGTTACATTTAGTCCACTTTAACCAGTTTCCATGGGGTAGGGGGATTTGATTTTCCCTAACCTAGCCCTAAAGACCAATGTCTAACGTCAGTTTGAGTCCACACTTATGTGAAGCCATACCAATGTACTTGTTTTGAGGAACTTTTAACAGTGGAGCAAGTAAAACAAACTACGATGTCAGGCAATATTGAGAAGATGTCAGTTTAGAACAGCCTTGATAGCAGTGTTTATCCATTACTATCTATTACCCCTCATAGATTCTGGTGCACTGCTTGACAACATCTTGACAACAGTGTCCTTCCTGCACGTGGTGCTAATTGTCGAATGAGTCGTCCGGTGGCGTTCATTGGTTTTTCTTTATTTCAACCAAGAAACTGCTGTTTCATATCATGATGCCAGATGCCAGATGCCAGAAGATAATTCATTGGAGTGAGCGGCTTCAAATGTCTAGTCCCAGGAAAGATTTGATCTAAAGGGGCTTAAAAACTGAAAATGAATTTCAACTGGATTACGCAGCTGTGAATATTCCATTCCCTCACTTGGAGAAAAAAGCAGCAAAGCGTTGTTCTGGTGCGCTCCAGCAGCACTACACCGACAAACTGAGACAATGCAAGCAAGATGGAGGAGATGGGCATCTGGTGTGTGCTCAAGCAGTGCCGAGAGAAAATTAAAAACCCCGTCAACAGTAAGACAAAGTTGACGTTCAGATGGGGTTCACAAACACAAACATGTCATATATCTTAAAAACACATCTTCAGGTGGGTAGCCCTGTGTAGAGCTGTGTATGGAGATGCACCGAGTCAGATTCAGGTCAAGCCATGTGTATGGAAAAAGGCTGCATGATAATGGGCCAAAGACGCAATAAGAAGTTTAGGTAACACTTTACTTGAAGGTATCTACATAAGAGTGACATGACACTGTCATAACTATGACATGACACGGTCATGAACCTGTCATGAACATTATGTAAATGTCATAAACGTTAATGACTGATGTCATTAAGTGTCATTCGGTTTTTGTAATGACAAGTTGACACTGTTTGGGTTGTCTTGATTATGACAACTAAAGTGACATTACCAGAAGTTGTCTTTGTCATGACAAGTTGACATTGTTTGGGTTGTCTTGATTATGACAACTTGACATTAATCAAAGTGACATTACCAGAAGATGTCTTTGTCATGACAAGTTGACATTAAATTTGTTTGGGATGTCCTTATTATGACAACTTGACATTAACCAGGATGACATTACCAGAGGATGTATCTGTCATAACAACTTGACATTAACAAGAAATGCACCTCTTTTTGTGTTTGTGACAAGTTGACATAATGATTATTATTGTTTTGACAGATACATCTTCTGGTAATGTCATCCTGGTTAATGTCAAGTTGTCATTATAAGGACATCCCAAACAAATTTAATGTCAACTTGTCATGACAAAGACAACTTCTGGTAATGTCACTTTGATTTATGTCAAGCTGTCATAATCAAGACAACCCAAACTATGTCAACTTGTCATTACAAAAACCTAATGACACTTAATGACAGCAGTCATAAACGTTTATGACATGTACATAATGTTTATGACAAGTTCATGACAGTGTCATGTTATAGTTATGACAGTGTCATGTCACCCTTATGTAGATACCTTCAAGTAAAGTGTTACCAAAGTGTATTGATTCTACACTCTGACTTGTTAATCAGTAACTGTATTTCTTTATTTCTAACAGGCAGGTTAATGCACCTCTACGCCATCTGTGTGGACTGTCTAGAAGGCGTCCACAAGATTGTCTGCATCAAGTGCAAATCACGCTGGGACGGGAGCTGGCACCAACTGGGCACCATGTACACCTACGATATACTGGCTGCTTCACCCTGTTGCCAGGTAGGGACACTGATGAGCACACTACCATAAATAAGGTATATTCACTTTCCAGGAGAGCAGTTGTTTGTCAGACAATGCATAAAATGTTTATTTTTTTTCCCTTATCCAAAAAAGCTGCGTACAAGGCCAATGAAAATGAATATTCCACTAATGGTTGGTCCTGTTTATATGCAGCCGTGTATGCTCTGATTGAAATGCCCTAACATGGTGTCTGTCATGTTTAAATATAGAAAAGTGGATCGGCTGTCCAGGTATTTTTAACAGTTTCCACTGGTGCCAGACTTGTTTGACCGTGTGAACACAACCTCCTTCTGTCATTCAGTCAACCCCCTTCTTGAAACAGTTGACTGAATGATATTTGCTCATATTCAAAAACCTGTTGATATCCAAGCCTGTCATAATGTTTAAAAGTAGGTGTGTTTGTCCTTCTGACCAGAAATGTGGGCTTTTGTTTTGGTCATGCATCTCTACCTCGCAGCCTTGCAAACTGTTGGCTAGGTTTGTGTACAGAGTATGAATGACAACACACGCGGCCCTCACAGTCCCTCAATCTAAACATCATTAAAAATCTGTGGATAGACCTCAAAAGAGCAGCATTCTCACAGAGCTAGAAGCCTTTCGCAGTTAGAATGGGTGAAAGTCCCCCAAACAAGAATTGAAAAGCATTTAGATGCTATTATATTTGCCAAAGGGGGCACTACTGAGTACTGACCATGCAGAGTGCCCAAACTTTTGCTTCAGGCCATTTTCCAGTTTTGGTATTTTGAAACTGTTAACGATTGAAATTAAAAAAAACTTATCTTGCTTACAGTATTGAAGAAATGTGTCATCTTTAACTTCATGACTTTTGGAAATAAGTTCATCGACAACTTAACCCTTTGAAACCTGACAGCAAATGATTTCTTTCAAAAACATCAGAAGACGGCAGCGAGCAACGAAAGAAGAAATGGCCAAAAAAAGTGCAAGAAATTAGTAAAAACATTTTTTTAAAAACAAGAAAATTAGTTTAAAAATAAATAAAATAAAGTTAAGATTAAAAAATGACTTGGAAATTCTGTGACATAATTTTTAAATGTAATAATATTACTACTACTAAATGCAGTAAATGTGTAATTTATGAATTGTTTGCAATTTGTGTGACATTTCTTAACAAGTTGCTCATTGCCTTTTCCCCCATGTTTTGGAAATAAATTGCAGCAGTTAGCTCAGGGTTCAGAGGTTTAATGGTGCGTTCGTTTTGTACTCGGAGTTCGGAAGTCGGAAGTGGGAATGACGTCACCTCCGAGTTGACAACAGTTTTTGCAGTCTAGTTGACAACGGTGGACAAGTCGGAAAAAACATGGACAATACCGTTCTACCTTTGGACTAGCTGTAGCCACTGTTAGCAATAACAGTTGATAACAACGCTCTGTGTGGTTTTTTGCACATATAGACAGCGTAGCAACATGCCCACGGATAAAAATTGAACAGTACTATGGGTATGGCTGATGTAATGTAAAACAGATAAGATAAAATTGCTATAAACAGTACTTTAGCAGTGTTTACTCACTATGTATGTGACCGGCAGCCATCTTGAATTTGTAAGTCAGGGCTAATGCGGTTGCTCCAAGTTTCCGTGTTGGAAATCCCATCTCAGGGTGCGTTCAAGTTTAAACTTCCGACTGGGAACTGGGAATTTTCGACCTCCGAGTACAAAACGAATGCACCAAGAATACTTGTGAAAGGCGCCTGAAAGTAGCACAAGAAAAGTGATGTCGCTGCACGTCTCGAGGGTTAATTAACCACTCACAGTAAACGAAATTTTGACCAGGGGTGCCAAAACTTTTGCATGCTGCTGCATTCCAAAAAGGCTGCATACATGTCCAAAGAGTGCTACTAAAACCCAAATAATACAAAGCCTGAGAGAGAGAGGGGATGAAGAGAAGGAGAGAAGGCGCTCAGTGTGTCGTAGGAGATCCCCCGGCACACAATGTTGCCATATGACTAAAAGCTATAAACACTAAAACAGTTGTCATGGTGCTCAAATTTTAGTTTCCAGTAAGTAGATGCCAATTAAGCGTTTTACAAAATAAGTGTGAGGACAATGAAGAAAACCCCCTTGAGTTATAGATGTTCCTTAAACAGTCAGAAACATTCCTTGTTCTGCTTTTAGTTTAAACGTCTCACTTTCTGTGGCTTGAGCCAATGGATATAAAGTTGCTCCAGGCTCAAGTTTGAACTTAAGAGCAGCTGGTGCAACTCAGGTACAGGGTCGTTACTGATTCACTAGTGTGCTGTTGATTTTGAGTTGATTATTTTGTCCCACATGATCAACTTCCATGCTCAAATCGTGCAGTTTTAATCCAACGTCCTGTTGATTGACCTGCGTCCCCTCTCGCCCCTGTGTGTCCTCAGGCTCGCCTCAACTGTAAGCACTGCGGGAAGCCGGTGGTGGACGTTCGAGTCGGGATGCAGTATTTCTCCGAGTACAGCAACGTCCAGCAGTGCCCTCACTGCGGCAACCTGGACTATCACTTTGTCAAACCTTTCTCCTCCTACAAAGTACTCGAGGCTTATTGACAAATGCTGTTTATGCAGGCTAGTTAAGCTGCTTCTGTTCTCTTTTTTTCTAACACAATCTAGGAAAGAGTTTATTTTTGGGGGCCTTAAGGTGATTTTATGTTTTCAAGTTCTCTTTCTTTTGGTTTCTTTTTTTATGTATAGAAAAAAGTTATGACTATAGTTAATAAAAAAATAAAAAGTTCCAAGACAGTATATCTCTGCTGTTAGAGAAAGGTGTTGATAAAGTGTGGAACTGACACATCAGTCAAGCAAACACATTTATCTGTGACAAGTGAATGTATCTGTATGCCAAAATTTGCTTTTATTTTTTATTTTTTACCAAAACGTAAAGATGAATCTCAAATAAAAACAGAGACAGATAAGAGCTGGCGTTGGCTTGTTATCTTCATCCCATTTAAAACACTTTTCACAGCATTGTTGACAAGAGTGACCGCCTCCTCGGTGCAGTTTTGACACATAATTGTGAAAATCATCATCAAGCTATTTATTGATCAAGTACGTCCTGCAGATCCGTCAGAGTCATTATCAGTGTGTGTTGGAGAGAAAAACAGCCTTGTGTTCATCACATTTTGGGTACAAAAATGGTTTCACATGTGGGGACTCACCTCCCATCTAAGCACACAAATTAAAGGAAATAGCTGAATAAATGAAAAGAGAAACAACGAATGCAGATGCTTCCATATAGGAGTACTGCATCATATACTTAAGCAGTTAATTTCCTCACATACTCTGTGGCATGTGCAAAATGCTGTTAAAGCTGTAGTTAAAGGTAGGTTCATTCATTCATTTGGAGTCTATTCCAGCTGACATTGGGTGAGAGGCAGGGTACACCCTGGACAGGTCACCAGACTATCACAGGGCTGACACATAGAGACAGACAACCATTCACACTCACATTCACACTTACGGACAATTTAGAGTCACCAATTAACCTGCATGTCTTTGGACTGTGGGAGGAAGCTGGAGTACCCAGAGAAAACCCAGGCTGACAAGGTGAGAACATGAAGGCTCCATGCAGAGGGGCTCCCCCACCCTGGGTTTGAACCAGGAACCCTCTTGCTGTGAGGCAACAATGCTAACCACTGCATTGCCATGCTGCCAAAAGGTAGGTGATTTTTACAAAAATTAGTCTTTGCCATTGTTACGCCCCACCCTTAGGCGGCCCTATGGGGTGAACAAAACTCCAAACACTGAGCCAATAATAACCACATGAACACCTTTAAAACAATCAAATCCATGGGACTTCTTAGAATGAAAACAAGCAGACAAGACAACAAAAATCCCACGGTGAGAGGCAGCAGGACCAGGAGTCCCCACACCAGAGCCTCTCCCCTCTGCTGCTGGCGCAGGAGCTCTTCAACACCTCCTCCATGCCAGGTGTGCTGCACCTCGTTAGGTAATGCAGCACACCTGAGCAGGGAAAGGGAACAGCAGCACAGAGCACACATACAGCCCTAACAGCCATATCTAGTGAAACTGTCATTATATTCAAACAGTAGTACATGTGGCAGATAATCTGTGACAAAAAATCATGTCCCTCCATGTAGTGCTTCTAATGGCAAGAATTGCCAGAATGTACTGCTGAATGAAAACAACCAATCAGTTGAGGAGTCTCTAACACAGCGGTCAATCATGTGAATCACTGCTTTAATAACTGCAGCTAGACTGTTAACCTCACAGCACTGATCATATATGAATCAAGATTATGTTACTGCGTTGCCTATTTCTTGTTGCTGTTTCCAGAAACATATTTTAGTGCACTGTATAGCTGTAAAATGAGAAAGTTGGTCAGGCAGGTGAGCAGTGTTTGGTACATTAGTAGACTGTTTCCAACATTGCAGCTGGGTCACCAGCATTCTCATTTTACAGCTAAACAGTGCACTAAAAATGTTTCTGAACACATTTGAGACCAGAAACAGGCAGTGCAGTAACAGAATCTTGGTTCATGTTTGATTAGTGCTGCCTAGTTTGACAGATTGACAGCAGTTTACAAACAGTTACTGACTTGTTTTCAAGTGCAGTGGATTCTGCAAATGCCATTAGAAGCACTATAAGGAGGAGTATAACTGTCTGAATATAATGACAGTTTCATCAAATATGACGAAAGAAAGTTACCAGCTGTAGCGGGGTGTCTACAGGTATCAGACACAGTTAAATTTAATATTTTTAAGACCCTTGTAAGACACCTTATAACCAAATTTAGGACAGACTTTTGGACAAATCATGTTTTACTTATTTAAGCATAGCAGGTAAGTAGTATCCATGTGGTCTTGTGCAGGGTAAGTGTTATGGTTATTAGAGTTAGTTAAGTCAATCTGCATTCTGCCAACAGGTAAATGCAAGTAAACAACAGTATTTTAGTTTTGTTTTTTGTTTTTTTTAAATATTTGTAACATTAGAAATGTGGACTTTTACATTGAAAGGATTCACTCATTTTCACAAGAAGAAATTAAAACATGAATAAATGAAATTAGATAAAATACTTATTGAAGTTAAGACCTCAGAAATTCAAATTTAAGACTATTTGATGACTTTTTACATTTTTGACATTTTATGATTTTTTTTTTTTAGGACTAGTAGGCACCCTGTGTAGTTTTAAGGCCCAGCTGACCTCAATTTTGGATCAAGATGGCAAAAGGAAAAAATCTGACTGACTCAAATCTAAATGATTAAACATTTTTGTCGTTAATGGTTTGGTCTCTTCAGTCCATTAGAGGTCACCAAATGTGGAGAATCTGTAACAAGGAGCATTAAAACTGTTGTGGAGGATCATGGTGGCCCAACACCTCACTAAGATACTGTTATTTTTTTCCTTTGTCACCAATTTGTATTTTAAGGATAAAATAAGGATAATGATTGGGGTAAGGCATGTGACAGTTCTAGTTACGGTTAGGTAAAGCTCCAGAGGAATAAATGCAAGTCAGTAAAATGTCCTCATGTGTTTTGTTTTTAGTGGAGAGATGACAGGTAACATGGTGCACCCCAAGTGTGTGTTTTTAGGGATGAAACCTTTGGATGGTGACCTGCACTTACCAAATAAAATTCAGTCATAACTAGGGCCTGTGACAGTGAAAATAAAAGCAACTAGCTAGCCAGTTATTCAGCTGATTATTGGCTGTGATATTTCAGAGTACAGATGTATTAAAAGTGAATACAGTGTTAAAATGAAAACTTCCCTCTGCACATGCAAAACATTTTGGTACCAGTGTAGCTGTGCCAGCTTTGAATCCTTCAGAGGACTGATGGTTAGCTCCTTCTGCTGGATGCATCAAGCTCTGTTAAATACCTACACAATACACTATGAGTAGAGTCTGCTGAAGGACTTTACACCAAACTGTGACATTTATGCACAGACGTCAATTCGTTTTTTGAGAATGTTTTATTTCCATCAGATCACTGCTGTATAGGCCCATCTGTCGTGTCCGTGTCGCTATCAGGAGATGTTTTGCTCTCGGTGGCTGTCGGATTTGAGTCAGCAGACTGCGAAGCTGCAGCCTCTTTTTTCATTTTCAACTGTTCTTTTGCTGAAGGTGGTCGGATGATGCACATGGCCGCTTGACCCTCTTGTATGAGTTTTGGCGTGGCGACAAACCCCACTGTCACCTCCAATTGTTGCACAATCTGCTCCAGAGCTTGGTCCTACGGGGAAAAAAAACACACACACAGATGTTTCAGATTTACTGTGTACATGTGTGAGGACATTTTGGGGGGAATAAGCTGTGAAAGTAAAAGTCAACAGAGCTGTTTGGGAAAATGACATCAAGGGAAGATGACAAGACAGAAAGAGTTAAGAGTCGGAGCTTGACTGAACATGGTGTCGTGCAAGGGTTTGTTCTGTTCTCACCAGGTTGTCTGCAGGTGTCCAGCGTCGTGATCGCAGAGTGATTCTAACATGGTTCTTCTTCTCCAGCCAACTCTCCACTTGTTTTAGCTTGGTGGAGAGGTCATGAGCTGCAATGCCGGATGAAAAGCTGACCTCTTTCACCTGCACAGGGGCTGTGGAGACAATACATATGCTACGGCTGTGTTTCACATACTGTGTGACCATTTTTAGATCTGCTGAATGCTGACGTTACTGAGATGGAACTGCCCTGATGCAAAGTAACAACCTACTTCACAGAGTTACTGGGCCTTGTTTTGAAGGAACAGTGTGAAGGATTTAGGGGGATATATTGGCAGAAAAAAAATAATGTTATAGGTATATTTTCTTACTTGAAAATAAGAAATGCTGTGTTTTTGTTAACTTAGAATGAACCTTTTACATGTACGCTGGGAGAGGGTCCCAGTCCACACAGATTGCCATGTTGCACTGCCATGTTTTTTAACTAGCCCAGACAAAACAAAAACTGGCTCTAGATAGGGCTATTCACGCTTTCACGTTGCTCACTGTAGTAACTGTAGCAAGGGCATCGGAAAAACTGATTTTTGTTTATTTTTATGAGAAACTGCTTTCTTCTGTGTTTTTACCAGTTTAAATCAGCAGGTCCATTTGTTTTGGAGAGGAGACCTGTGTGGATAATTCAGCTCATGGTGAAAACCTCCTGAACATCTGGATCTTAAAGGGATAGTGCACTCAAAAATGAAAATTCAGCCATTATCTACTCACCCATATGCCGAGGGAGGCTCAGGTTAAGTTTTAGGGTCCTCACATCACTTGCGGAGATCCAAGGGGAGAGGGGGTAGCAACACAACTCCACCTAATGGAGGCTGACGGTACCCCAGATTCAAATGCCAAAAACACATAATTGAAACCACAAAATATCTCCATACTGCTCGTCCGTAGTGATCCAAGTGTCCTGAAGCCCCGACATAAAAAGTTGTCTGGAAAAAAGTCAATTGAACTCTGTTTTTAGCCTCATTGTAGCCTGTAGCTCTAACAGCCTCTCTGTGCACCGCGCTCACATGTGCGCGCGAGACCAGCAAAAGCGCGTGAACACACATGAACGTGGTGCCCATGTCTCACGGTCTCGTGAGACGTTTTTCCAGACAACATTTTATGTCGGGGCTTCAGGACACTTGGATCACTATGGACGAGCAGTATGAAGATATTTGGTGGTTTCAATTATGTGTTTTTGGATTTGAATCTGGGGCGCCGTAAGCCTCCATTAGGTGGAGTTGTGTTGCTACCCCCTCTCCCCGTGGATCTCCGCAAGTGATGTGAGGACTCTAAAACTTCACCTGAGCCTCCATCGGCATATGGGTGAGTAGATAATGGCTGAATTTTCATTTTTGGGTGCACTATCCCTTTAAGTTATCAAAGAAAAATGGTGAGAACACCTTAGCAAGCGCTGGGGTAACAGCCCATCTCTGACAAGCCTAATGGCATCAGAGAAACACTGATTTGTATAATAAAACTGCTTTA